ATTTAAAAGAGAAACTTTTGTTTTTCTTATTGGCCCACCCTGCCGTGGTGGGATACAGCCGGTGTGTTGAAAGAAAGAAAGATATATATAGTGGTGGTGGGATGAAGAGTCAGGTGATGTATGCTGAAGCTTATTTCTTAGGTAGACGATGAATGACTTTTTAAAGGGAAAAAGGTTGGATGTGAGCAAGACCTGTCTACCATAGGTCAGTAGGCCTGCTGTAATGTTGTTGCTGTGTGGGATAACTATAAAAGTTTCCTGGCAAGGGGTCTCTGGGATGTAAACCCATTATTTTGGTGAAATTGATGGATATGCAAATGACTGAAAATTTTCCCGTCTTGCATCTCATATTTTTTCTTAAATGGCAAAAGTTGTGTATTGAAATTTAAAATGGTTGTAAAATTTCAGTGAAAAAAAACCGGGCGTTTTCTGAAATCCTTCTGTGGTGTATGGTTTTCAGAATAAATGTTTGGAGGTTGGATGTTTTGACATGTATATTTGGTTTGCAGTTGGTCCCAAAAATTGTTTAATGCACCTGCGGGGTTGATCCTACTGTGATATCCTTTAGGGGGTTAGAGAAAGCTAGAGACATGCTTGGCAAAGTTGGGAGGGAAGCTGTGCATGTATCTTTTATTTGTACCCCCTAAATGAATTAAGTATTTATGTGCATGCCCTTTACAGTCTGTGAAGTGATGGGATAGGAAGTATAGAAAAAACTTGTTCATGAAAAGCGTTCTTCATGGGTTTTTGTGCTGCAAATACGAGGGCCTGGAAGTTGCCTGTGTTATCCCCATTTAATTTTGGGATTTTGGGTGAGTAGAATTTGGGGAAGATTGTGTGATTGGTTGGTTTTTAAAATAGACTTTAAAAAAACTATGGTCAGCTTTGCAGAGAAAAATTAAAGAAAGTAAGTGTCATACAACTTGGGGATAAATTTGGTTTAAGCTTGACCTGGGTTTAGCTTGTGTTTTAGAGCGGAATATATTTAAATGTTGAACAGCATGTTGAGTATGCTGTCACATAACAAAGTTAGGGAGTGAGGAAGGAATAATAGGGGAAAACCACTCAACCTCAAGATGTTCCATGTATAGGTTCACCAGTACAGCACTAACTGGGGAAACCAATGGGAAGTCCCAAAAGTCTGTTGAAAAAGCAGCACATAAAACCAGCTTTCGTGAATTTTGCCATGTCAGCGATATTTACCCATCGGCGATTTTGTCCACTGAGTCTGATTTTAGGCTAATTCCATTGTTCCAGTTGACCAGATTCTTAGCTATTTTGCTAGTATGTCTTCCATTCTATTGATTGAGTACAAGAAAACTGCCATCAAGTAATTAAGGCTAAACCAATTAAGTGATCAGAAATTAGTAATTTAGCCAATTTCACACAAAATTCAAGAAATGGCAGTTTCAAAATAGGGTCCAGAATAAACAGTGCAGACATTCCTGACACTGAAATAATATTTTCTCTGTTCATTAATCAAGTCTCCAGGCCCCTCTTATGTTACACTTGCTTTCCATTTTGAATTTTTATTCACACAAAAAGGTAGATGATGTACTGTCATGTATACAAGCACTAAAAACAATGGAATAATACAAAATGTATCGCATGCACGCGTGGAATCGTCGGGACTGGCTTGTAAACAATGGCATACTAGCTGAAGGCAGGGTGGCTCAAGCACTCAGGCCGGGCGGACAGGCAGACACGTTCGGGACGAATGCCCTTAACCGAGTTCTTGGGCGTTAGCCGATGCCGCCGTTACCCAAGGGCCCACTGTATTTGTAGTCTTAATGGTCTTAATGTAGGGTGCATAGTGAGGTAGGTAGGTATTAAAGTGTGGTAGGTATATTGACCCATATTCAAGGTTTTGTAAACAAACCAGTTGTTGTTATTGATACCAGACACGAAATGGTTTTTGTTCACTTCGTCAAGCCGATGGAAAAACATCTTCATATTATGTTAATTATATGTTTATATGTTATGTAGAGTGTTTATTATATTAATTTTGAAAAAATAATATCATAGATGGAATTAAGCAAAATGTCCATATTAACGTTTTTATATGACATTTAATGTTCCTAAGGAGTGATTATTATTGTTTTTATTATTATTATTAGTATTATTTTATTATTAATGAATATGGCACTTCATGACTAATAACACACACTTAATGATTTTATGTGTTCTGCATGCCAGCATTGGGTGCAAGTTGTGGAATTTAAAGCCTATTTTCCTGCAAGGTAGGTAATGGTTATTGTACGCCATTTCATTTCTTACATTAAGGTTTTTTATGAAAGAAGTAATCTAATGCAGTTAGCATTACAAACTCCATTTTACTTCTTAATATAACACGTCCGAAGGAGGAAAGAATGGAAGACGTTTTCATAGTGGAGGAAAGACTGCCACGACTGTATCCTCCCCCGCCACCACATAGTATGACATACATCTTTTATTCATTTCTAAGTGGTTATCAGGTTTTTATGTTATTTAATATGCATTGTTTATTATGTCATATTAGATGAAATGTGATAGATAAAAAGCAGTAGAGTTGATTATAGTGTCTATTGAAGTACTATTTTGTTCATGCCTCCTGACACCACGAAATGAATTAATTGGGGGATTTAAATATTTCTTATGGGGGAAATTACTGTTTCGAGTTTCGAGCGTTTCGGATTATTTTAGAACTAGCTATTGGAACGGAATTGAGTTTGAAACTGGGAGGGTACTGCTGTATTATTTTATATGACTCTAGTCTATTAAAAATCTTGCCAATCCATAAAAATTACTGTGTGAAACCATTTAATTGTAATTATTGTTTTTATTATGTGCAACTTTCAAGATTATTGTACATATTTACAAACCTCCATTTGACTGCCCCTCACTTAATATTAAGATAAAATATAGTATTTATTAAAAAGTTAGCCAAGTTTTCTTGTCTAGATTAAGTAGGATTAGTCTGATCCAGCTGATAGTGGCTTCTTTGTTTTTAACGAATCAAATTGTAATTACTCATTGTAACCTTTGCAAATAAATAAAATCTTTATTCATTTTATTCTGTGTACTCTGGAATATCAGCAAAAATTTAACATGGCCAGTCAGGTCCAGTTCATATATTATACATGACTCATATGAGTATAATAGTATCCTGCAAATGTTCAACTGCAATTAGTTGAGTAACACTGAAAGACAAAAATATTGCCAAGCACAAGAAAACTGAAGAACCATTCAGTATACAAAGACAAAATGGAAATCAAGGACCCCAATGGAAATAAGCCACTTGTCTTTTTTGGTTTATCCTAGGTAATTTACACACATTACTATGTATGATAATTTGTGTAACTGTATTTATGTGTACCTGTACCTAAATAAACTTCCTAATTTGAAAATCTAAATGATGATGTAAGAACAGAACACTAGAACATTTTGCTGTCAGTTTTGGATGTAAGGACCTTTTAAGCTCAGAATTATGATTTAGCAGATCTAGAATAATCGCCTGTATAATGACGCATTTCTTAGTGCTGTTTCATGTAAATGTAGCATGTTTTAGCTGATGCAACAGACTGGCAACCCTGCCAGTCAGCAGTGTCTAATGATTAAATGCAGAACGAACCATCAATGTGTGTTTTTGTACACAATGCCTCAGGCTTAATGTAACTTTATTACTCTTATTACAGTGGATACTTTTTTTTTTTTTTTTTTTTTTTTAATTTAGCCAGTCAGACTTGGGGGGGAATGGATGTCCTTGACACTGGGGCATCTTGTTTGCTGTAAAATATGGTATTCCAGAGCAGATGACCCATAATGGAATTTTTGGCTTATGAATCTTTTGCAGGATGTACATTCTGGCAGGTCTGGGATTGCTGGGGATGGTATGTAGAAGTTTCTTTCCTTGTTCTGAGTCCTTAATAATGAGACAAGTCTTGCATAGAAAAGTTTTGGTTAGGTTGTCCACTTGGTTTGTTCCGAGAGGCTTATAGGTGTCTGAGTCATAGAGTAGATTGAGCGTTTTTTTCCTGTAATCACTGAACCAGTATTTTCAAAACTTCACTATCCTTATCGCTTCATCAGACTGTAGATGCTGTGTACATAACATATTCAATTTAAATAAACATGATACCAGTGAAAGAAGATACATAGTCTTCCCTACCAACTCCACTGCCAATCACATCTCTAACATTCTCTTCAACATTTAATTCCAAGTAACTTCCACTGCATCCACTACAGTTAAGGACATCATAAGCAAGTGTATACACAGTCCCATGCAATGATTACAACCCTATTTTCATGAGCGATATATCCAGAGACCTCCAAACACTCATTTCTGAACATCAGTATGCCAGCAGAACAGATGACTTGAAGAATGCCTGTGTTTTTGCTGAAACACTTGCAACCTTTTAATTACAAAGGCATGCAACTTATCTCCACCTCTCTGAAGGGAAGTGGGATTGTTGCAGTTTGGAGGGTTGTTTGAGCTGTAATGTCAGCATGCTTCTGGCAAAACTGATTGAATTGTCATGGGGATTTGATGATGGTTGGGATGAGTGATGGGAGTGGAATTAATACTTCATCTTGCGGTAACATCGGCTTTATTGATGAGAATCTCGTAAGCAGCCCGTTCCACATCCTGTGTCGCCCATGTGTAAACCACAACTGACTGTGGAGAGTGAGCACTGACTAGCATCTCACAGTGTTTGAAATACCACTACCATACCCCAAGCCATGGGAACAGTCTTAACGATTATGTGGGTGAGTGGGTATACATAATGGGTATATACATACTACTGAGAGAATGAATGATGGTTAAAGTGTTTCTTCTTTTTTGGGTCCCTTTTCTTCAGCAGGAGACTGCTGGTGTGTTAAAAAATAAGTAATTAAGGAATACCATATACCTAGAGCAAGGCAGCATTCATGGGAAAATAGAGAAATTTTAATAATGAACTATTTTATGGAAAAAGACAAGAATAAGAAAGAATTCATTGTTTATGTGATTTTTTCCTCAGGAAGACAAGCATTCTTTGTGTTAAGAAGCTGCGAGCATACTGTTCAGTGTGTAATAGCTGTTGGTGAAATGGTCTCCAAACAAATGATCAAATTTGTTTGCAATATTGCCAAGGAGAGCATCATTGATGTGGAAGGCAAGGTAGGTGCTAGTGAATATATTATTGTGTACAAGTTTAAGAGTATTAGTACTATGTTCTGAACAGTATGTGATATAAGAAACCTAATCTTAAAAAAAAGGTTGCAGGGGGTCTCCATATTTTTCTAGTACAATAAGTATGCTTCAGCATGAGTTCACAACCTTTACTCATTCATATGTCTAATATCTCTCAAATTGTATTGCTGGAGTGCAGGCAAGAAAGATATATAGTACTATAATTTGCACATGAAAGATGCAGATGAGACTGGCTCCAAATTTCCACAGTGAAATTATAGCTAATGAGAGGGGGAGGATTGAGAAATAGGTAAAAATACTTATTTTACTCCAGAGGTGCAGTATTACATGGACATAATTCATAAGTCTAAAATGTTTATGATTTTTCAGATTTTCCCTTCAAATAAAAGTGGAATCACCACTACACCCATAGGTATTTTCAAGAAGCTTGATAATTTGTGGAAAAAAGATTTCTGATTAGATGAGTTGTAATGCCTATACAGTACAGCCCCGCTTCATGACGTTTCACCTTATGGTTTTCCACTAATATGGACATTTCAAATTATGACCAAAACTCGCTATATGGCTCCTCCCACATGACTCAAATATGGTCACTGCACGCCACCCTGTTTATTTACATTCTCCGTGAACTCCATGTCTTGCAATTACGTCTGGAAACTTTCCAAAATTTCAAGTGTTTTAAAGTTATTTCATATTTATATATACAGTGGAACATCTTACTTGCGAGTTTAATCCGTTCTGTGACCTTGCTTGCATCTGGATTTGCTCGTTTACAGAGTCAGTTTTCCTCATTTAAATTAGCTGAAATGCAATTGATCCGTTCTGGCTCTCAGGGGCATGAAAAATTTTCATTTTTCGCTAATATCATCTATGTGGTTATTTATCTATCCAGTTCATCTAATTGATAAAATAAACAATTAAAATAGCATAGAAATTTTGATAATATCTAAAAAATAAAATTGCCTTTACACGTGGCAAATAGGGGTATGGCGTGATAGATTTTGTTGGAATGGACAAAATGTCCTTAAAATATTTCCTGATATCAACTCTACGCTTATTTATCTCTCACAATTCAAAAATGACTAAACAATATAAATAACATAAAACTTGATTATACTCCGAATAATAATATATGTCATCATGGGATAAGGGGAGGCAGACCAACCCCTCCTGCATTGTTGGTAAACAATTTCACATGACGGCCTTTCGAAGCCATCTTTATTATTAAATTTTGCATTATTATTTTACATGTTTTATTTTTACATATATTATAATTATTTTATATTATTTTTATTAAACAGTGGACCCCCGGTTTCGTGATTAATCAGTTTTCCCAAAAGCTGCCGAATTTTGAAATTGCCGAATGGCGAAAAACCCTTTTCCCATAAGAAATAATGGAAAAAAAATTTTTCTGTTCCGACACCCAAAAAAAATTAAAATAAAATATTTTTTTTTCAAAATTTAAAAAAAGATTTACATACTTAAAAAAAATGAAAATCAAGACATACATATAAAAAATGATAAAGTTTAAAATTACCTTTTCTGAAGACTTCTGGGTGGTTTGGGACAGGAGGGGGGGATAGGGGGAAGGAGATTTTTCCCCTTCCCTTAGGGGCTTCAGGGACAAAGTCCCTTTTCTGGGGTTTTCTTTTCCTTTTTTTGTTTTTTAAAACACTGGGAACAACTTGAGAGTACTTGGGTCCCCGTCACACAAAATACTTCCAGAGAGCTCTGTTTTCTGGCATTTCTTTAAAATTTGTCTGAAGTGGGAAAACCCCACTGTCATTGTACAGTTGCCAATTGGCCCGCAACGCTTTTTTAGGGTGAATTCATCCATAAATTTTGCACTTAAGTCCCCTTGCCAAATGTCCTTAATCTTTGAAAAGGCACCTTCCCATCTCTCTTTCCTCCCCTGCAGCAGTTTCCCGAGCTTTATCTTTGCTGTTGCAGATGAACTCTTTTCGCTCTTCGGGGTTGCTCTTCCCGTGGTCCTCCACCAACCCCTCCCCAGTGCCACAATAGATTCCACAACTGGCATAGGCTCCTTAGGGTCAGCCCCAAACCCTTCAAAATCCCTCTCTTGTACACATTCTGGCCACAGTTTTCTCCAAGCAGAATTCTAAGTTCTGCAAGTCACTCCTTCCCAAGCCTTACCTATCTACCCCTTTTGCAACAACAGCACACTTTATTTCCTTTTCCACTATCGAAGTGATGGTTGAATGGGGTTTGCCATACATCCTGGCAAGTTCTGTAACACGTATTCCGCTCTCGTATTTTTCAATGATTTCCTTCTTGAATTCGATCATGTTCCTCGCTTTCCTTACCAAAGGGCTTGCACTAGCTTTCCTTGGGACCATGGTGACTTATTTAGCAGTTGCAAGCACAAAAAAACAATGGATTATTATGAAATGTATTGTGAAACCGCGGGGTGATGGTCATGTGCTGGTAAACAATGGCACACTGAGTGTGAATGGTGCGGGAGACTGGCTTTGTGTGCGTGGTGATGGGTACCGGACGGTCACCGAATCACGAGTCCAATCATGAACCGTGAGGCTAAATTTTGCCGAAAAAACTTGCCAAAAGTCGGATTTCATGAAAGTTGATGCCGACGAAACTCAGGGGTCCACTGTACATGTTATTATTATTACAGTGGACCCCTGAGTTTCAGCAGCCTCGAGTTTTGCGAAATTCAACCTTCGGCGAGTTTTTTTGGAAAAATTTGGCCTCGAGTTTCGTGAAAAAACTTGTGTTTCAGCGACCGTCCGGTACCCGTCTGCCCGTCACCATGCACACAAAGCCAGTATCCCACGCCATTCACGCTCAGTGTGCCATTGTTTACCAACATGTGACCATCACCCCGCGGGGTCATACAATACATTTCATAATAATCCATTGTTTTTTGTGCTTGCAACCGCTAAATAAGTCATCATGGACCCAAGGAAAGCTAGTGCAAGCCCTTTGGTAAATAAAGTGAGTGACGGGGATGTGGAAGAGTTGGTGGAGGACCACAGGGAAGAGCTAACCACTGACGAACTGCAAAAGCTTCAACTGGAACAGCATCAGACCACAGCCGAGGAACTTGCTTCAGAGGAGGAGGAAGAGGGAGTGGATGAGGTGCCTTCTTCAGTGATTAAGGACATGTGTGGAATGTGGAATGAGTTGCAAAGTTTTGTTGAAAAGTATCACCCTGACCAAGCTGAAACAAGCCGTATCTGCAACAAGTACAATGACAGTGTTTGTCCCACTTCAGGGAAATCTTAAAGAAACGCCAAAAAAAGACCTCTCTGGATAGATATTTTGTGTGCCAGGGGTCCAGTGACTCTCAAGTTGTTCCCAGTGGCATTAAAAGAAGAAGGGAAGTAACCCCAGATAAGGACTTGCTACCTAAAGTCCTAATGGAAGGAGATTCTCCTTCCAAACAATAGTGTACACCTTCCTCCTATCACCTCCTCCCATCTTCCATCCACCCAGAAGTCTTCAGTAAAGGTAAGTGTAATGTTATTATTATTTATTTTAAATGCATATACTTGATTTCTGATTGTTTTCATTATGTAAATCTTTATTTAATTTGAAAAAAAATATTTTATTTTAATATTTTTGGGTGTCTGGAACGGATTAATTTTATTTCCATTATTTCTTATGGGGAAAATGGTTTCGAGTTTCGTGAATTTCGACCTTCGGCGGGCTCTCTGGAACGGATTAATCATGAAACTCGGGGGTCCACTGTATTATTCTTTTCTTTCTTTCAACGTACCGGCCTTACCCCACTGAGGTGGGGTGGCCTAAAAGGAAAAACAAAAGTTTCTCCTTTTAAATTTAGTAATATATACAGGAGAAGGGGCTACTAGCCCCTTGCTCCCGGCATTTTAGTTGCCTCATACGACACACATGGCTTACGGAGGAAGAATTCTGTTCCACTTCCCCATGGAGAATTATTATTATTATTACAATATAAATAATTTGTAATTTTTATTCACAAAAAAAATGGAAGATTTACTGTTATCAAGACTACTGCATTATTGTAATAATTGTATAAATAATGTCAACCCATTCATGACTGCATATTGGAATGGACAGTGACGTCATTTGTTTACTCTTGAACATCACCAAATAATCGAACATTTCTGCTACTTTGAGCTCAATTTCAAGGTACTTTTCATGGTGAAACCAATCAAAATCATATTTATTTCTGTAATGTATCTTCCATTCTATTAAATGAGACCAAAAACACGAGAATACAACCATGAAAACCATACAAAAATACCGCTTAGGGGCGGCTAATGGCCGAGAAGTGAACTCCGTTATTTATGGTCTGATTTCTTTTATTTTTTGTGTACGTTGAGAAGCATCTTTCAATCATACATTGCCCAAGTTTCAATAAGATAGTCCAACAAACAACTTAGATCCAGTTCCCTAGATCAAGAGCAAGAGCCCCTTACCAGCATCAAGGAACCTCCCTTGAGGCCTGCTGGCATCTGGAAATTTCACTCGCGTCTGGAAGCAAGAAATCGACTGAGCGACTGCTTCTATCAGGAAAAACATGCACATGGATGCACTCGTAAGTAGAGGTTCCACTGTACTCTGATAATTATACTTATGTGTACCTGTACCTCAGTAAACTTAAACACTGTGCTGGCATGCAGGTACACATTAAAATCACTAAGAAGGTCTTATTAGCCTTGAGGATGCCACACTAATAATGATAATATGCAATAATAATCAATCTGAGGTGCATTAAATGTCATGATTTACATTAATATGCACATTTTCATTAATCCATCTAGGATATTTTTTAAAATTATACAATAAACATGCTACATAACATCTAAACATGATAAATACACCCCACAGTAGAATAACTTAACATAAGTATGAGATATTTTTCCAGTCATCTTGTTGGAGTGTCAGAAAGAATAATGTTTTCTCTAGTTCAGCACCAAAGTAAATATGTACACAATAGTACAGTGGAACCTTGGTACTCGAACAGCTCCGTACTCAAACAATTCGGTATTCGAATGCTTTGTTGGGTAAACAAATTGCTCGGTAGTCGATCATTTACTTGGCGCTCTACCAAACAAACACAACCTGCCAGAACTTTGCTGTAAATTATTTTGTGTTTTTGCATTTTTTGGTGTTTTTTTATATTGTATAAATAAGTTACTATAGGGCCTAAGAGGGTTAGTGATATCAGCCAACCAAAAAGAAAATTTGTTCTGTACTCTAACAGATCAACACTCAAACAGCCTTCTGGAACCAATTAAGTTCAAGTGCTGAGGTTCCACTGTATTACTAGGGGTAACTTTAGATAATTATTCCTTTTGTATGCCTTCACTCAGAGCATCATTTCTTCAAAAAATGGTGTGTTAGATGAGAATGGGAGTGTCGCTCTTTGTTTATTCTATTGTACCAATGTGGAGACAACTTGTACACAGTGTAAGGTGTTTGTATTATGGTATAAGCTTCACAAACATGGACATGAACTTGTATCATCCCATAACCAGATGTGTTCATCTGCTTGTTTACATACTCTGCGTCTCTGTCCTCTCATTTACTCTCTCTCTCTCGTTTATTCATTTTATCTCATATACTCACCTCTCACCCTACATTAAGACTTGTACAGATATTTTAAGGTAGGTAATGAGTGAACTGTACGTATATGCATTTTATCGCTCTGGAGCGCTTTAAATGTCATAGTATTATGTGAGTGGGGTGGCCTGGCTGGCTACCATACCTCCCACACCTAACTTCCTACAACAAATACTACTCGCCTCTCACCCTACATTAAAACTACAAATATTTTAAGGTAGGTAATGAGTAAACTGTATATGCATTTTATCGCTCTGGAGAGCTTTAAATGTCATAGTATACAGCCTCTCCGCACTTAACGATGGAGCTCCATTCCTAAGACCACATTGGTAAATGAATTCATCACTAAGTGAGGAGCATACTATAATGGTAGTGGATTTGTGTCAACCATATTTGATATTGTTTTAATGTCACCTTTGCACCATTTATAACATTTCTGGTATATTTTTAAATGTTTATACACTAGTGTGTTGTATATTGTAATAAACAGAATAGAAGCAATCAGCTCTAATATTTAGTTATGCATACTTGTCAGAGAGCCTGTCGTAAGTCCGAGTTGTCGGTAAACGAGTACATCGCTAGGTGAGGAGAGGCTGTATTACATGTGAGTGGGGTGGCCTGGTGGGCTACGATACCTACCACACCTGATTTCTTACAATAAATACTACTCATCTCACTCTACATTAAGACTACAAATATTTTAAGGTAAGTAATGAGCATACTGTCTGTGTAATTTTACTTTTTATTGTTTTTAATGCCTAATTCTATTGCTTACTTAATATATGTTAGTGTAAACTTGTTATCTGGCATTTATATGCATTTATAAGTGGAAAAAAATGATGTTCTGCTTTCCGGCAATGTCCGCTTTCCAGTGGTAGCCTGGAACCTAACCTGCTGTGTAAGTGGGGCCCTAGTGTATTGGATTGTGTGGCAAGCACCAACAGCATTGGTCTGGAACTTGGCCATAGGGAAGATAATCCCTGGACCTATCTATGGGTAAACTACAGGTAATTTCCCCTGTTGTTGAGCACATGGTTTTATTATGCTGTCACTTATAATCAGCCTTTTATGATGATGTCTACATAGGATGTAATTTAAACAAAAATTGGTAAGTAATATATACTTTAAGGGGGGGCATCAGAGATTTACTTCATGGTTAAGGCAAAATTTTGCTTTTGATATTCCATTCTTGATCTTAACATGTTAATGATCAGGAGATTGAACTGTATACACCTCTATATCTAGCATATATATCGGGTGTGTATATATCTATGTAACCAAAATGGTATTATGGTGGAAGGAATGAGTTCAATTACAGAGAAACCTGGTAGACAAATGGTAAAGGCAACAGGAAGACTAACCAAACTACAAACCTGTCTCACTGATGTGTTCTGAAATTACTGGGAAAAAACATTAGGGAAAATGGTTAAAAACCTTAGGATAGTGAAAAAAAGACACAAATTATCCAGGAACAAAACGGATGGGAGATTACATTTATATTGATTTCAAGAAAGTTTTCAGATAAGTTCCTTACATAAGGCTGATGTTTAAACTGCAACTCACAGGAGAAAAAAAAGGTAAACTATTATAGTGGATTAGAAACTTCTTGTTTGAAAGAGTACCAGAACAGTGATATGAAGCAAAATGTCCTCTTGGGATCACAAGCCTGGTGCAACAGGGATTGGAACATGCTTTGATAAATTTTCTAGTTTATATAAGAAAAATTTATGAATATTTATACTAATGATACATAGCTCCTGTGTATGCTAAGACAAAAATTATTGGGTATCCCTACTTTAAAAAATGGATAGATTGAGCAAGTGGGTTGATGGATGAATGTTCAAATTTAATGTTGCTAAGTGTCATGTAATAGAAATTGATGAAAGTAAAAATAGGTCACACAAAGAATTTTTTAACATGTCAGCCATCTCCCACCGAGGCAGGGTGACCCAAAAAGAGAGAGAAACATTTTCATCCATCATTCAACACTTTCAGACATAATCACTGTCTTTACAGAGGTGCCCAAATATGACAGTTTAGATGTCACCCCAAACAGCCAATATCCCAAACCCCTCCTTTAAAGTGCAGGCATTGTACTTCCCACCTCCAGAACTCAAGTCCGGCTAACCGGTTTTCCTGAATCCCTTCAGAAAATATTACCCTGCTCACACTCCAACAGCTTGTCAGGTCCCAGAAACCATTCATCTTTATTCACTCCTATCTAACATGCTCACACATGCCTGCTGCATATTTAGGCCCTTTGCACACAAAACCTCTTTTACCCCTTTCATCCTTTCCTAGGACAACCCCTACCCCTCCTCCCCTCCACTACAGATTTATACACTCTTCAAGTCATTCTAATTTGCTTCATCCTCTCTAAATGAACAAACCACCTCAGTAACCCCTCTTCAGCCCTCTGAATAATACTTTTTGTAACTCCACACCTCCTATTTTCCATGCTACGAATTCTCTGCATAATATTTACACCACACATTACCCTTAGAACGACATCTCTACTGTCTCCAGCCTTCTCACTGCAGCATTCACATTATTATAATCAAAGGAAGCACTAAACCTACCAGGGTCACTGTGCAGCATTCACAACCAATGCTTCACACCCATATAAGAATGTCAGTACCACTGTACTCTCATACATTCCCTTCTTTGCCTCCATGGATAATGTTTTTTTTTTCGTCTCCACAGACACCTCAATGCACCACTCACCTTTTTTTTCTTTCATCAGTTCTATGGTTAATCTCATCCTTCATAAACCCATCTGCTGACAAATCTACTCCCAAATATCTGAACACATTCACTTCTTCCATACTCCCTCCCTCCAGTGTGATATCCAGTTTTTCTTTACCTAACTTATTAGATACCCTCATCACCTTACTCTTATCTATGTTCACATTCTACTTTCTTTAAGCACCCTCCGAAACTTGTCCGCTAACTTTTGCAACTTCTCTTTAGAATCTCCCAAAAGCACAGTATCATCAGCAAAAAGTAACTGTGTCAACTCCCATTTTGTATTTGATTCCACACCCCTCTCCCAACACCATAGCATTTTCTTCAGGGAGGTACTACCATCCTGCCAAGTGAGTGTAATTGTTTTACATGATGGTAGGATTGCTGGTGTCTTTTTTTCTGTCTCATAAACATGCAAGATTTCAGGTATATTTTGCTACTTCTACTTACACTTAGTTCACACTACACTTTCATGTACAAGCATATATATACACACCCCTCTAGGTTTTCTTTTGTTTTCTTACTAGTTCTTGTCTCCATGGGGAAGTGGAACAGAATTCTTCCTCCATAAGCCATGCTTGTTGTAAGAGGTGACTAACATGCCAGGAGCAAGGGGCTAGTAACCCCTTCTCCTGTATACATTACTAAAGTTAAAAAGAGAAACTTTCATTTTTCTTTTTGGGCCACCCTGCTTCAGTGGGATATGGCCAGTTTGTTGAAAGAAGCATCTCCCTCTCTCCTACACACCCTAACCTGAGCCTCAATATCCTCATAAAAACTCTTTACAGCATTTAATAACTTATTACCTATTCCATACACTTGCAACATCTGCCACATTTATCCCCAATGCACCCTATCATATGCCTTTTCTGAATCCACAAATGCAATGAAAACATCCCTACCTTTACCTAAATATTGTTCACTTTTATGCTTTAGTGTAAACACTTGGTGTATGCATCCCCTCGTATGTACATATAATATACAGTGGAACCTCTGGTTTTTGTATGGTCTAGTTGGAGAAAAATCTTGGGGAAAATTATCTATAAAATGTTTTTTTTTTTAATATTTTTGGGTGTCTGGAATGGAACCAGTTAATCCACTCCAGACTTCCAAAAATATTAACAAAAAAATACATTTTACAGAGAATTATCTCTTAAGAATTTTCTCCATCTAAGGCATACGAAAACTTAGGCTCCGCTGTATTATACACATCAAGCAGAGAAAAACCTAGGTGTCTTTGTTGATAAAAGATTATCACTGGAAGATTACATAAATGAAATGATAGTGGCTTTTTTATATTATCGTTATGTGTGATTTCAGGTTGTGGTGACAGGGCAAAAAATTGAGTCCTGTAGCATACAAGACATTGAAATTTATGCCACCAAGGTGTTCGTTGTCTCAGCTTCTGCACAGCGTCTACCATTGCAGGTATGAGAAACCACAAAATGCTCTTTTAAATCCAGTGTTCAAAGGACAAAATGGTAAATTCTTTAGGCTTGTTAGAAATTACATATACTGTAGTTATGAATTTATTTTAACGTTTGGCAAGTATTGTGGTAAATATTTTGGCATACTGTTTGTTCTCTTGCATTCTTGACTTGGACAGTCTCAGTTACTAGCTTGTTTATCAGTCATTATTTATTTCCTGTGTCTGTTCATGAATTTTTTTTATGCACAGTACAGTGGAACCCCGTATTTCGTCCTTAACCCTTTCAGGGTCCGTGCCGTAGATCTACGGCTTTATGTTGAGGGTCCAAACCGTAGATCTACGCCAAAATTCTAGCAGCGTCAAATTTAGCACGAGAAGGCTGGTAGGCCTACATCTGAGAGAATGGGTCTGGGTGGTCAGTGTGCACACTATAGAAAAAATCTGGACGCCCGCATGGCATGGTGGGAACGCCGCCAAAGTAGCTTTGTTCATCGTGCCTGGCGGCAAGGAAGCTCTCACTCCCCACTCACTCTCCGGGCTAATTCTGACTCTCCTCTTCACAACTTACAGTTCTAAGACTGATGGAAATGAAGCTGAAGAGGAATTCTATGGTTTTGAACCATATGGTACCATTGTACCATATGGTACAATGGTACCATATGGTACATTGGTGCCATGTCATACAATGGTATATGGTACAATGTACCATATGTACAATGGTACCATATGGTACATTGGTGCCATGTCATACAATGGTATATGGTACAATGTGCCATATGGTACATTGTACCATATGGCATTCTGTGGTACCATATGGTACAATGTACCATATGGTACATTGTACCATATGGTACATTGTACCATATGGTGCATTGTACCATATGGTGCATTGTACCATGTGGTACATTGTACCATGTGGTACATTGTACCATATAGTACAGGGTACAGGGACCCTAATGGAAATAAGTCTCTCTGAATTTTTTGGGTTATCCTAGGTTCTCCAAACATATGCTGCTAAGTATAATATTCTATGTAACCTTGTTTGTGTATACCTAAATAAACTTACGATGCCACATGCGCTTGAGTAAGTTTATTCAGGTGTACAGAAATACAATTACATGGATTATTATACATAGCAGCATATGTATAAAATCCTAGGATTACCCAAAAAAGTCAGGGTGACTTATTTCCATAGGGATCCCTGTATCTGTACCATATGGTGTCCTGTACTGTATGGTACCCTGTACCATATGGTACCCTGTACCATATGGTACCCTGTACCATATGGTACCCTGTACCATATGGTACCCTGTACCATATAGTACCCTGTACCATATGGTACCCTGCACCATATGTTTTCCTGTGCTGCATGGTACCCTATACCATATAGTACAATGTACCATATGGTACCCTGTAACATATGATACCATGTACCATATAGTCAATAGGTGGTGGTGGTGGCGGCATGAGACACCAGCCAAGACTGAGTGAGTGGCAACACAAGCTAGCTACTGACTCGGCAGTTTCCAAGACAAAGTGCTTTGTCATCCACCTCAAAGAACATGTCCAGTTCCTGTACATTTGTAAATATATATAATAGAACATTACTAATATACAACATTTTTGCATATTTTTGTTGTAAACAATTATTGTAAACAAAATAATGATGAAAATATAAGTGTGTTTATTGTGTTGAATACAACAGTACCATATAGTACCATATGGTACAATGAACCATATGGTATCATTGTACTGTATGGTACAATGTACCATATGGTACCATTGCACCATATGGTACCATTGTATCATATAGTGCCATTGTACCATATTCTACCATATGGTACCATGTGCCATTGTACCATGTACCATATGGTACCATTTTACCATTGGTACAATTATACTATATGGTACCATTGCACCCTATGGCACCATTGTACCATATGGTACTATATGGTACCGTTGTATTCAACACAATAAAAGTACTAATATTTTCATCATTTTGTTTACAATAAACTTGTAAACAAGTTTTGTAAGCAATATAATGATAAACAAATTAGTGCAGGTATTGTGTTTAATACAATGAGTGTACACTTATACATTATATTGGTCTCACAGGCCACAAATGTACTAGAAAAAGAAAAAAATAGAAAAGAAAAGAAAAAATATAAAAAAAACGTAAAATAAAAAAATGCGATTTTGCGGAAAGCACTGATGTTGTCGCCACCGGGTCATTTTGGGTCATCTTCCCGCCGCTGTATCTCAGTAAGTACTGATCAGAAATTTTTTTTGTTTTGTTTTATTACCTTCACAAAAATATTATCTTTAATTCTGTAAGTTGCCCTCTCCTAAACTTGTTCTCAGGGTCGGAAATTTAAAAAAAAAAATTATTATTGTTTCTTATGAAATGATAGAGAATCTTTTCCCGATCATAATGACGCCAAAAGTATGAAATTTGATGGAAAACTTACGGAATTATGCTCTCACGAAGTTAGCGGTCTCAACGACGTTTAGGCATTGGCGATTTTGCCCACTTTGAGTCCTATTTTCGGCCAATTTCCATGTTCCAGTCGACAAAAATCATACCTATTTCACTAGAACTCTATTTTTTCTATCGAATGAGTACGAGAAACCACCCATTTACCGATTTTAACTATCCAATAACGTGGTCAGAAATTGGCAATTTTGCTAATTTCACACAAATTTCAAAAGATGCCAATTTCCAAATAGGGTCCAGAATAAACAAGACAGACATTTCTGGCACTAAAATAACATTTCCTCTATTCATTACTCATGTCCCCAGGCCTCTGTTACATTTCTTTTGCTTTCCACTTTGAATTTTTATTCTCACAAAAAACAGAAGATTTATGTTATGCAGACTGCTTTCATGTAGAAATGGTATAAATAATATCAGGGCACTTGTGAAAGAATATTACACTCACCAGTTGACATGTATTGGATGCGTGGCATGATTTGTTTACCTTTCAACTTTGGCAAAAATCAAACATTTCTGCTACTTTGAGCTCAATTTCTAGGTAATTTTCATTATGAAACCACTCAAAATCATCTCAATTTCCATAATATGTTTTCCATTCTATAAAATGAGACCAAGAAAATTAGAATACAACGATAAATAGCATATGAAAATACACTGCAAAGTTGCTGTTTTAAACCAAAAACACAGTTGGAGTTTTTTTTTCTCATTATGCACTGTATGCTGCAGGATTTTTTTTATACTGCGCGCACTGACCACATAGACCCATTCTTTCATATGTAGGCCTACCAGCTTTCTCTCTCTAGATTTGAAGGCTGCTAGAATTTATGTGTACTAATATGGCACCACCCCTGGCGTGCAAACCGTACTAGTACAGCACCAACCCTGAAAGGGTTAATCCATTCCAGGTCAGTCTAAATCCGAAACGGATGAAAACCGAAGCAATATTTCTCATAAGAAATAATGTAAATACAATTAATCCATTCCAGACACCTGAAAATATTAAAAAAAAATACATTTTTTAAAGAATAACAATAGTTTACATACAGAAAACAATGAGAAAGAAATATAAATGACTAATGATATGAATAAATGAACATTTAACATCACACATACTTTTATTGAAGTTGTTGGGGTATGGACGGTGAGGAGGGGAGAGGGAGGAGGAGCAGAGATTATCGTTTGGAAAGGTAGTCCCCCTCCATAAGGACTTCAGCCAGGGTTACTTCCCTTCTTTGTCTTTTACTGGCACTGGACCTCTGTCGCACTAAAAATCTGTCCAGAGAGCTCTTTTTCCTGGCGTATCTTTAAGAGTTGCCTAATATGGGACTAGGGTATTGTCACTGAACATGTTGCAGATATGGCTTGTATCAGCTTGGGCAGGCTGATATTTTTCCACAAAAGTTTGCACCTCATTCTACTTTGCACAAATGTCCTTAATCACCGAAGGCGGCACCTTCTCGACTCTCTCTTCTTCCTCCTCTGAAGCAATTTCCTCAGCTGTGGTCTGTTGCTGTTCTAGATGAAGGTCTTGCAGCTCTTCAGTGGTTAACTCTTCCCTGTAGTCCTCCACCAACTCTTCCACATCCTGGCCACTCACTTCCAACCCCATGGACTTCCCCAAAGACACAGTAGATTCCAAACAGGCATAGGGTTGACAGGGTCCAGCTTCAAACCTTTCAAAATTGTGGCCACAATGTGTTGAGGACACATTCTGGCCACAATTTTCTCCAAGCAGAGTTCAAAGTCCTGGAAGTCACTCTCTGCCAAGCCTTACCTATAAGGGTTATGCAAATGAGGATATTGAAGTGATGCCTCCAGAACTCTCTTAGGGTCAGTTCAGTGTCCGAGGTCACTTTAAAGCACTTTTGAAACATTGCATTCGTGTAGTTTTTTGAAGTTAGAAATTACCTGCTGTGATTAGTTTTCCATTACCTTGCATGTTTAGTGGCACATAAATTTGGTGGTATGCACACCCTTCACATTTCAGCTGGCAGGTGGAAATGGTTTTTTTTTATTATTGAATGTATCTAAAACCTGATGTGTTTACTCTATCATATATTAAGTGCTCAGTACAGGTAGGCATAAAGAAAAATAAAAAAGTAAAATAAATATAATACATACTTTAAATTATGGTGCTGATCACCCTTCTCTTACACAACTGTTGCACAGAAACTGTGGAAAAGTGATAAAAGCACTGAACATAATGAACAATGGCTTGATTGAGAGCCAGCGAAAATGTGGAACACAAAAAAAAGAGGGTGCTGTATATGCAGGGCCCTCTCGTATGTTCATATGGAATAGGTGTAGTGAGTTATATGTTTGGTACAGTTTTGTAAGGGAATGTGACTTTTATTTTACATTGTTTACACACACCAAATTAGCTTGCTACATCCAACATGGCCCAGTAGACCCATATTAATCCTCCATACACTCTTCAAATGCCTGACAGAATGTGAGGCAATCAAGTTGTGGTAATTTTTGCTTAGTAAAATAGTAAAAATTGATTGCCAAACTTGGAGGTGTCTAGAGTATAATTGTATGTCTCCTATGTATTCTTTACACAAACTTGGTTTTCATTAACTGCTTATTTTCAGGAACATAACCCCTATGTTAAGAGGGGTTATACAGTAGTCCTGTCCCCCCCCCCATATCCACTGGGGATACATTCCAAGACCTACTGTGGATACCTGAAACCATGGATAGTAGCAAACTCGTATATAGAGTTATTTTTTTTGTTTACATACATACTTATGATGAAGTTCAATTGATAAATTATGCACAATAAGTTGAGAATTAGCACTTTTTCACTGTTGGGCAGCAGTTCACAGTGCCTTGTAGGTTTTGAAGAACTGTCACCATCTGTACTTTTGCACTTTGGGACCATTATTAATCCTATTAGGGTTTCTGACGTACTAGTACGGCTTATGCACCAGGGTTATTGACGTACTAGTACGCGTAAATTCTAGCGCCTTCAAATCTAGCGAGAGAAAGCTGGTAGGCCTACATATGAAAGAATGGGTCTATGTGGTCAGTGCACACAGTGTGTAATGAGAAAAAAATAACTTTGACCGTGTTTTTGGTTTAAAACAGCGACTTTACATTGTATTTTCGTATGGTATTTATGGTTATATTCTAGTTTTCCTGGTCTCATTTTATAGAATGGAAGACATATTACAGAAATTGAGATGATTTTGATTGGTTTCATAATGAAAAGTACATACCTTGAAATTGAGCTCAAAGTAGCAGAAATGTTCGATTTTTGCCAAAGTTCAAAAGTAAACAAATCATGCCACGCATCCAATACACGTCAACTGGTGAGTCTAATATTCTTTCACAAGTGCACTCATGTTATTTATAGCATTTCTACACTAATGCAGTAGTCTGCATAACAGCAAGTCTTCTATTTTTTGTGGGAATAAAAATTCAAAGTGGAAAGCAAAAGAAATGTAAGAGGGGCCTGGGGACATGACTAATGAAAAGAGGAAATGTTATTTTAGTGCCAGGAATGTCTGTCTTGTTTATTCTGGACCCTATTTGGAAATTGGCATCTTTTGAAATTTGTATGAAATTGGCAAGTTGGATAGTTGAAATCGGTAAATGGGTGGTTTCTTGTACTTATTCGATAGAAAAAATGAAGTCTAGCAAAATAGTTATGATTTTTGTCAACTAGTACACTGGAATTGGCTGAAAATAGGGCTCAAAGTAGGTGAAATCGCTGACTTTGCAAGAGCATAATTCCGTAAGTTTTCCATCAAATTTCATACTTTTGGTGTCATTATGACAGGAAAAAGATTATCTTTTCATGAGAAAAAAATAATTTTTTTTTTTTCCGAAAAATTTTCGACCCTGAGAACAAGTTTAGGAGAGGGCCTCTCAACCCTGAAAGGGTTAACCCTTTGACTGTTTCAGGCCCCTCTCTGAAACTGTCATTCTATGTCGCTCAATTTTTAAAAAAAAAAAAAAAATATTTTTTCTTATGAAATGATAGAGAATCTTTTCCCGATGGTAATGACACCAAAAGTTCGAAATTTGGTTGAAAACTCATGGAATTATGCTCCCGCGAAGTTAGCGGTCTCGGCGACATATGCGTATCGGCGATTTCGCCGACTTTGAGCCCTATTTTCAGCCAATTCCATTGTTCCAGTTGACCAAACTCATAGCTATTTCTTTAGAACTCCATTTTATCTATCAGCTGAGTACAAGAAAACTCCCATTTACTAATTTGGACTACCCAATATGGTGGTCAGAAATTGGCAATTTGGCCAATTTCACGCAAACTAAAAAAGATGCCAATTTCAAAATAGGGTCCAGAATAAACAAGGTAGATATTCATGGCACTAAAATAACACATGCTCTGTTCATTAGTCATATCTCTAGGCCCCTCTTATATTATTATTGCTATTTTGATTTTTTATTCATACAAAAAAATACAAAATTTACTGTTATGCAGACTACTGCATTATTGTAAAAATGGTATAAATAATATCAGTGCACTAGTGAAAGAATATTAGACTCCCCAGTTGATGTGTATTGGACGTGTGGTGTGATTTATTTACTCCTGAACATTGGTAAAAATTGAACATTTCCGCTACTTTGAGCTCAGTTTCGAGGTCGTTTTCATTGTCAAAGTAATGAAAATCATCTCTATTTCTGTAATATGTTTTCCATTTTATCACCTAAGACCATGAAAACGCGAATACAACAATAAATACTATACAAAAATACACCTCAAAGTCGGCGTTTTATTCCAAAAAAACAATCGGTTTTTTTTTTCTCATTACGCAATGTGTGCTGCAGGATTTTTTTTATGTGGTGCACACTGACCACACAGACCCATTCCCTCACATGTGGGCCTACCAGCTTTCTCCCGCTTGATTTGAAGCCGCTAGAATTATTGAGTATATATACGTCAGAAACATTGGCTTGTAAGACGTATTTATACGTTGAAAACAGTCAAAGGGTTAAGCAAAATTCAGTGTTATTTTTGAGCCACAATAAACTGTGGATAACTGAAATCGTGGAAACCGAATTCAAGGATATGAGAGTTCTATTGTACTGTATACAGGTCTCCCTCAACATTCGCGTTTTCAACTTTCGCGGGATTCACACATTCGCAACTGCCAAATCATATTTAAACTACAGTATAAATAATGTCAACCTGTTCGTGATTGCACATTGGAATGGCTATTCATGACTGCATATTGGAATGGCTATTCGGACAGGTATTGGACGGTGACATCATATACATGTATTTAATTTTGAACACGCAAAGAATCAAACATTTCTGCTGCTAATAATAATAATAATAATACGATAGAATTGAAGGAAATTGTACAAAAATATGAGGGTTGAAGCCCCTTGCAATGTGGCTTTGTTTATGCTGGAGTGAGCATTAGTCTCCATGCTCTTCCAAACATTTCACAATAATTCATTGTGTTTGGTGCTTGTAGATTGAGTACAACTGGAGTGGTAGAGGCAGTGGTATTTAATAACATATATGTTATTAATAATAAAAATACATATTATTAATAAGTGTTATTAAATACCACTGCCTCTACCACTCAGTCTACAAGCACCAAACACAATGAATTATTGTGAAATGTTTGGAAGAGAGCGGAGACTAATCCTCACTCCAGCATAAACAAAGCCACACTGATGATGCCTCAATCACTTCTTCCACTACTGCTTCAACCCTCATATTTTTGTACAGTTTCCTTCTTCAATTCTATCGTAATAATAATAATATGATAGAATTGAAGAAGGTAATTGTAGAAAAATACGAGGGTTGAAGCAGTGGTGGAGGAAGTGATTGAGGCATTGTCAGTCAGTGTGGCTTTGTTTATGCTGGAGTGAGCATTAGTCTCCGCTCTTTCCAAACATTTCACAATAATTCATTGTGTTTGGTGCTTGTAGATTGAGTGAGACTGCTACATAATTAACCATGGGCCCAAAGAAACTTGCTAGTGCCAGCCGTTTGGTAAAGAAATTGAGAAATACGATAGAATTGAAGAAAGAAATTGTACCAAAATACGAGCAGTGCCCCCGCAGTGGTTGTGGCAGTGGTATTTAATAACATGTTATGGTTTAATAACATGTATTTAGTACAATATTTTACGACGTTTTCGTGTATTTTATGATTGTTCATGGTTCAACAAGTTAAGGAAGCAGTATTGTATTACATTTCCCTACAGTATATTGGGGCACCAAACATTCGTGAGGCTCTTGATCCCCTAACCCTCGCGAATGTTGAGGGAGTCCTGTATTTGGAGTATTGCAAATGTGTAATGTACCATGGGATTGCTACAATAATGTTTCTTCTGCCACGACATCCAGAAATAATAATAATCTCTTATGGCTGATAGAAGATTTTTCAAAAGAAAATTTATACTTACAGATTGACGATGCTATGCGACCAGAAGCAGATGATCCAGAAGGTCTACAAATTAAGGTAAATCAGGACACTAGATTGGACAATCGTGTCTTGGATTTGCGGACACCTACAAATCAGGCAATCTTTAGGCTGGAAGCAGGAGTTTGCCATCTTTTCAGGGAAGCCCTCAGGATGCGAGGTTTTACAGAAATTATGTGTCCTAAGCTCATCTCTTCTGCCTCAGAAGGTGGAGCAAATGTATTTGGAATGAAATATTTTGAGAGAGAAGCTTTTCTTGCTCAGAGTCCTCAGTTGTACAAACAAATGGCTATTGCAGCTGACTTTGGTAAAGTTTTCACCATTGGCCCAGTGTTCCGAGCTGAAAACTCAAACACTCATAGACATCTAACAGAATTTGTTGGACTGGATTTAGAGATGGCATTCACTCACCATTACCATGAAGCTGTTAATGTTATTGGCAATATGTTTACAGAGATTTTTAGAGGTCTTCGTGATAATTATGCTGATGAGATTGCCACAGTGAACCATCAGTTCCCTGCTGAACCTTTTAAGTTTTTAGACCCACCATTATGTCTAGAATTCAAAGAAGGAGTTGCTTTGCTAAAAGAGGCAGGGATAGAAATGGAAGAAACTGAAGACCTAAGTACACCAAATGAGAAACTGTTAGGCCGACTGGTGAAGGCTAAATATGATACTGATTTTTATATATTGGACAAGTACCCTCTAGCTGTAAGGCCTTTCTACACCATGCCTGACCCTAACAATCCAAAATGGAGTAACTCCTATGACATGTTTATGCGTGGGGAAGAGATATTGTCAGGTGCTCAGCGAATACATGATGCCACTTTATTGGTGGAGAGAGCCAAAGCTCATGAAATTCCAATTGACACCATTCAGTCTTACATAGATTCTTTCAAGTATGGCTGTCCTCCTCATGCTGGTGGGGGAATTGGTTTGGAGAGAGTGACTATGCTATATCTAGGTCTGGACAATATCCGCAAGACGTCTATGTTCCCCCGAGACCCCAAGAGACTTACACCCTAGCTTGGATGAAATATCCAAGTATTTGCTTGGTTGTCAAATGTTCATAACTTAATTTGAGAAATAAAATTAAAGGGTTACATTTCATATGTTTTCTCCTATTTTTTTATGATAATTTTTCTTGTCGAGATTTTTAATGTAATAAATATGATACTGATTTTTACCCTATTTAATTAAAGCTTTGTGTGAATTAATGCAATACTGTGTATTGTACGTATTGCATACTTTGGTTATATTTATTTTAATTGCACTTTGTAATTAGAGTACTGAGTGAGCTGGTGTGGGAATAAATTTTATTAGAAAGTATTTAGGAGGTTTAATTTGAATTCTAAGTGGAATTAATCATTGCAAAAATATAAAAATATTTTTGAGATTTTGGGAAATATGTGAATAATGATAATTTGTTATTAATATAAATGTGTCTGAATATCTGTTTTAATTATACCTAGACTGATATACATTATTATTATTATAATCAAAAAAGAAGCGCTAAGCCACAAGGACTATACAGCAGACTGATATACAGTACTGTACAGTAGACCACATTTTTGCTTGTTTGTAATTTTTTTTCCCCATCTTTTGGTCTGAAGGTTCACCACTGTATGTGGAGGCTCTACCCAATTCCACCTTGTGCTCCAACATGGCCAGTTATTACAGTGGAATAAGTAGGCCAATTTTCCTCCTATGTACCTCAGGCCTCCTTGGTTGCATGGTAGACCTAGCTTTGTTTATATTTCTCACCTCCCACCACTAGTTACCTTATGGGTGTGTAACATATGATTATTATTATTATAATCAAAAAGAAGCGCTAAGCCACAAGGGCTATACAGCGCTGCAGGGTAGGGAAGGAAGCGAGGGCATTGGATGGCAGAAGGGAGGAGGGATGATCAGCAGGTTACAGAAAACAGCGGGGCAGGGGATAGTACGGGGGTAGAGGGTAGCAAGAGATTGAAATAGAAAGGGCTGAAGGTATCAGAATTTGTGAAGTCAGTTGTCAAAAAGTCAATGAGAGAGTCCGGATGAAAGGTGGGTCCATCAGCGAGAAGGGAAGGTAAAGAGAGAGTAGCGGAGCGAAGACGACGACGGGTAAATTCTGCGTGCTCGTTGATAAAGTGGGCAGTCCAACAGAATGTGGCTGGCTGATAATGGAGCTTGGCAATTCTCACAGAGATGAGCAGGATGCCTCTCCATGAGATATCCATGAGTAAGACGAGTATGGCCAATGCGAAGACGGGAGAGAGTAGTCTCCCAACCTCGACACTGGTGATAAGAAAATGGCCAGTAACCTATACTCGGTTTAATAGATTGAAGTTTGTTGCCGAGCATAGTAGACCAACGTTGTTGCCAACGGGTGTGAAGGTGGGAAGATATTGCAGCAAAATAGTCCGTAAATGGAATACCTCTATAAGAAACTGGTAGGTCATGTACTGCTGACTGCGCAGCAGTGTCTGCCTGTTCATTGCCCTGTACGTCAACATGACCAGGGACCCAACAAAAAACAATATCTTTATGCTTGGTAAAGATGCGGCGTAGCTAAAGTTGGATACGGAGGACTAAGGGGTGAGGTGTATCAAATTTTTGTATAGCCTGTAAAGCACTAAGGGAGTCTGAGACAACCACAAATGATGACACAGGCATAGATGCAATACGGATAAGTGCTGTAAGGATGGCATACAATTCAGCAGTAAAAATACTAGTCGAAGATAGTAAATGCCCTTGTACGACGCTGTCCGGAAACACTGCTGCGAATCCTACGCCGTCAGAAGACTTAGAGCCATCTGTGTACACGGCAATGGCATGAGAATGAGAGTGAAAGTGGTCAAGAAAAAGAAAGTGGGAAGCGACCGTAGACAGTTGGGCTTTCGAGCAAGGGAGGGAGAAAGAACAGACTCGAACAGCTGGAACTTCCCAGGGGGGGTAAGGAGAAAAGTGAGATGCTACATGTACAGAGAAAGGTGGTTGTTGAAGAGAAGACAAGAGCGAATGAAGGCGAAGAGAGAAGGGACGGAGTAAACAGGGGCGGCGAACAAATAAAGAATGTCTATCAGTGACCATTCTATAAATGGAAGGATTGCGGAGCTCATGAGAGCGTACATAGTAGCGCAGGCAATGGGCATCACGGCGATCGGATAAGGATGGAACGTTCGCTTCTGTATAGAGGCTCTCGACAGGGGAAGAGCGAAAAGCACCAAGGCATAAACGTAATCCTTGGTGATGAATGGGGTTAAGGCTAGAGAGAGTAGCAGGAGATGCCGCTGAATAGATCTGGTCACCATAATCAAGTTTCGATAAAATAAGGGTGGAATGTAGGCGGAGGAGGGTTCGACGATCAGCTCCCCATGAAAGATGAGCAAGGGTTTTAAGAAGGTTCAGCCAGCTGTGACAAGTTGCCTTCAGAGAGGTAATGTGAGGTTTCCAGGATAACCTACGATCAAAGAGGAGGCCCAGAAACTTGACTGTATCACGTTCAGGGATACGGGAGCCATAGAGGTACAAAGGATGATCAGAGATGACAGAGCGTCTAGTGAAAGTAATTTGGTGGGTTTTAGTGCTGGAAAATTTAAACCCACGTGTGGTGGCCCAATTGGAAACACAGTCGACTGCATGTTGGAGAGAAACTGTAATGAGGTGACAGTCAGCGCCTGCACAGGCAATAGCGAAGTCATCAACATAGAGTGATGACCAAATATTTGATGGAAGACTAGAGGCCAAATCATTAATAGCAAGGAGAAAAAGTGTTGTGCTCAGAACACATCCCTGGGGGACACCTTCAGCTTGGATAAAGTCCGGGGAGAGCACATTATTAACCCGAACACGGAAATGCCTGTCAGTTAAAAAGTTCTTAAGGAAGGATGGTAGATTGCCTCGAAGGCCTAAGGAGTGGGCTTGGGCTAAAATATTATACCTCCAAGTTGTGTCATATGCCTTCTCAAGGTCAAAAAATATGGCAATAACCGAGTGGTTATTCGCAAAGGCATTACGAACATACGTATCCAAGCGTAGTAAGGGGTCTATGGTAGAACGTCCCTTACAAAAGCCATATTGACGAGTGGAGAGACTGTTATGTGTCTCTAAATACCACACTAAACATCTATTTACTAGGCATTCCATCACTTTGCAAACTACACTGGTAAGAGCAATGGGACGATAGTGGGAGGTTTCATGTCCCGTAGTGCCTGGTTTGCAGAAAGGGAGAACAATGGCGGATTTCCACAGCTGTGGAAGAACTCCTTGTGACCAAATAAGATTGTAAAGGCGTAATAGGACTGCAAGGGCTGACTGATGTAAATGTTGTAGCATACGAATATGAATGTCGTCGGGCCCAGCTGCCGATGATCGGCAAGCTGAGAGTGTTGCCTCCAGTTCTTGGAGTGTAAAAGGCACATTATACTGTTCTTCTCTGAAAGAAGAAAAGTCCAAGGGTGCTAACTCTCTGGCAGACTTTGAGGAAAGAAATGAGGGGTATAGATGGAGTCCCTGAGAAATACGGACCAGATGATTGCCAATTTCATTGGCAACATCTAGTGGGTTTGCTATATCAACACCGGCAACCCGCAGAACAGGAGCCGGGTCAGGAGAATATTTACCACTCAGTTTTCGTACTTTTTTCCAGACTGCACTCATAGAGGAAGCAGAGGTGATGGTGGAGACAATCTCGCCAGCAAGTGCGTTTAGTGTCATGGATGACATGGCGAGCGATCGCACGCTTCTGTTTAAAATCAAGGAGTCTCTCTGTGGTTCTATTGTACCGGTACCTGCCCCATGCAGCGCGTTTCAAACGTACTGCACGAGCACAAGCAGGAGACCACCAAGGCACGCATTTCTGAGAATGCATGCCCGAAGTTTCGGGTATAGAATGAGAAGCTGCTGTTAAAACGGAGGACGAGAAGAGGTGTAAAAGCTCATCGATGGAGGACGAAGAAGGAACCTCTCTAAAAACAGTTAGGTGTGAGTAAAGGTTCCAATTTGCCCGATCAAATTGCCAGCGTGGGATGTGAAGAGGTGGTGAATATGAAGGGGAAGTAAGAATGATTGGGAAATGATCGCTGTCATGTAAGTCCGGGAGAACAGACCAAGTGAAGTCTAATGCGGTGGAGGAAGAGCAGACTGAGAGATCGATGCAAGAGAGAGTATGAGTCCGAGGATCAAAATGGGTGTGCGTACCTGTATTTAAAACATGGAGGGGGTGGGTGGCAAGAAAAGCCTCTGACTGAATTCCACGGGAATCACAGTGAGAACCCCCCCAGAGGAAATGGTGGGCATTAAAATCACCAAGTAACAGAATCGGTGGCAGTAATGACGAAACAAGAAAGGCAATATCCAGAATAGATAATCCCCGAGAAGGAGAGAGATATAAAGAACAGAGCGTATACCACCTATGCAAGTGGATACGGGCTGCTGTGTAATGCAGCGAAGTATGAACAAATAGCTGATGGTATGGAATATCAGTGCGTAGAAGAAGGGCACTTTCATTAAAGGTCCCATCAGGAAAAGGATCTGAAGAATACAATAAATTATAGCCTGAGATGGGAGAGATAACAGCAGAGTGTAATTTTGGTTCCTGTAAGCAAACACCAACAGGGGCAAACTGGGAGAGTAACATCTGAAGCTCACTCCGATTACCCCTTAGGCCGCGTATATTCCACTGTAAATAGGCCATGATTGGCAATGATAAAGATACTTGAAATCCGCAGGTAAGGGTTCCTACAGACTAGAGGGGTTAGAAAAGTCCACATGCAGAGGCAGGGAAAACGTTCAAGCAGGAAGGAACGGTGCGCTGTGAAGAAAGGAGTTGCGCAGATGGAGGAGAGGAGAGAGAAGGAACAGAGGGTGGATCAGTGTCCATTGATGGTTTGGTCTCTGCAATACATTCAGAGATTGCTTCAAGTGTTTCGGAATTCAGAGACGTCATATGGGAGACAATATTGGAAATGGTAGGGGGAGGATGAGTAAAGATTGGAACTGTATTGGACTGTACCAAGACAGGGGGGGGGCGAAAGGGTGGAGGGAACTGGAGAAGCGTGGAAGGGAACAGAAGAGGCAGAAACCTGGGAGGTGGCAGAAGAGGAAGAAACCTGGGAGGGAACAGGGGAGGAAGGTACAGTACGAGGAGGAGGGTGAACCTCTACACTTGTAACAGAGCCAGTGAGAGGGGGAGAACCAGGGACAGAGACAGGAAGGGTAAAATGAGGAGGTGGAAGATGGGTAGGAGATGTTAACGGACCTTTTTTTGACTTTTGAGAAGTAGAGGGACGATTGGGAGGAGGTGTCATACGAGATCTCGTCGTTACTGAGGCTTGTGAGAGAGAACACGAAGAAGCGAGATCAGACTGAGGCGTTGAAGTAGGGACGTCTGAGCCGAGGACAGCAAAAGGATTAGATACAGGAGTGACTATGGGAGAGGTAACCACAGAGGTGGGTGTAGAA